TTCTTCTCTTTTGCTGCACGCTTAGATAACAGCAGCAGCAGCAGCAGCAGCAACAGCAGCAGCAGCAGCAACAGCAGCAAGTAAAACAACAACTGCAGCAAACACAAAAATATGCACTGCAGCAGCAGCAACAGCAACCAAAGCAACCCCTGAAACAGTAGCAGCAGCAGCAGCAGCAGCAGCAGCAGCAGCAGGACCTACAACGAGAAAAAAAGCAAATAAATCTGCCGTTTCTGCTGCTGTTTCTGCTGCTGCTGCTGCCGCTATTTCTGCTGCTGCTGCTGCTGCTGCTGCTGCTGCTATTTCTGCTGCTGCTGCTGCTGCTGCTGGTGCTGGTGGTGCTGCTGCAGGTGGCGTGGCGCAGTGGCTCTGAGCCGTGTGTTATCAGCAAGCACCGCGATAGTTTTTTTAGATTTAAGTTTTAATAAATTAAAAGATTTTGGGGTTTTTTGTTTGTGCCCGGGAATAGAAACAAACAATACACTGCAAGTTCTGCTGCTCAATACAAACGGAATACAACAAAAAGGACTCATACAGCTAGCAGAAACACTCGCACTCAATTGGTAATATAAGGGGTTAGGGTTTAGGGTTTAGGGGGTAGGGGGGAGGGGGGAGGGTTTGGGGTTTAGTAGGGTTTGGGGGGTAGGGGTTAGGGTTTGGGGTTTAGGGTTTGGGGTTTAGTAGGGTTTGGGGGGTAGGGGTTAGGGTTTAGGGTTTAGGGGCTAGGGTTTAGGGTTTAGTGTTTGGGGTTTAGGGTTTAGGTGCTAGGGTTTACGTGCTAGGGTTTAGGGTTTAGGGTCTAGGGTTTAGGGTTGAGGGTTTAGGGTTTGGGGTTTAGTAGGGTTTGGGGGTTAGGGGTTGGGGGTTAGGGTTTAGGGCTTATTTGTTTATTTATATACTCATGCATTCATTGATTTACTTTTGTTGCTGCTGCTGTTCTTGCTGCTGCTCCTACTGCTGCTGCTGCTGCTGCTGCTCCTACTACTACTACTACTCCTGCTGCTGCTGCTGCTGCTGCTGCTGCTGCTGCTCCCCCTCCTACTACTCTTGCTGCCACTGCCTCCGCCTCCGCCGCCGCCGCCGCTGCTACTGCTGCTACTGCTGCTGCTGCCCCCGCCGCTGCTGCTGCTGCTGCTGCCGCCGCTGCTGCTGCTGCTGCTGCTGCTGCTGTTGTTCAGTACGTTGCAGGCATTGGGTTTACGGGGCAACGAGTGGGACGTGTGTACTTTATATTTATTTATTTCTTCTCGCGCGCACTTTATGCGTTCTTCTCCTCTTGTGTTGGACTTAACAATAAAAAAAATAAATCAACAAATGCAGCCAACTGCTGATGAAAGGTTTTTCTCTTTCAGACAAAAAGCTACACAAATACTAGATGAAGATTAGGGT